ATGTCTCTTCAAATTCGAAATTATAATTCTTATTTCCAACTTTATTTTCAAATTTTAAATGCTAATCTGGGCCTAAATTCAAATCCCAAAATAAACTACAATTTATTTAAATATTTTAACAACAATAATAATCCACCCCTACAATTAATAATAATCCACCCCTACAATTAATATCTTCCGATAAACAAAAATATTACAGAATCCAAAAATTCACCTGACGAATACTGAAGGTATGCAATCAATGTAAGATATTATGTATATTTCTTAATATATATATATATATATATATATATAAATATATATATATATATATATATATATATATATATATATATATAAATATATATATATATATATATATATATATATATATACGGCCTGAAGATTGCGTTTAAGCATGAAACTGTCACCTCATTGCCCACTTTTTTTATTTACGTACGCTCTATCCCTGATATTGAACATACCATAAAACTATATTTTTTATCATATATATATATATATATATATATATATATATATGATAAAAAAATACAGTTTTATGGTATGCTATATATATATATATATATATATATATATATATATATATATATGATAAAAATATAGTTTTATATATGCATATATATATATATATATATATATATATATATATATATATATATATATATATATATATATATATATTAACTCCTAACGTTAGATAAAAGTTATAAACGTAAATAATATCTGATTTTTTTTTAATCGAATGTGATATATAATACCGAATTTTTTAAACCAATTTATTAATTCCAGATGATTGCTAGAAATCTATAATTAAAACTGTATTTTATTTAATTTTCCTAATAAATCCCGGGTGTTACAGTAGTATTAATGGATTAAGTGCTTTGGAAAGTATATGCTTGTGTACATGTGTATAATGATTTTGTTAATATAAACACGTAGAAATTAACCATTCTGTTTTTTGGAACTGATGTTAACTTGGGTAAAACTTATGTTCAACCAGAAATATGCATATTTAAATATTTACTCATACACACATCTCTCTCTCTCTCTCTCTCTCTATATATATATATATATATATATATATATATATATATGGGATTATTGTACGTACAATATTAATAATACTGCCATATGTGATATAAATCGATCTATGTATATATATATATATATATATATATATATATATATATATATAAACTACCTATTTAAAAAATTTACATGTATTCCATACCTAAAAAGTGTACTGAAAACTATTTATTTCCGCAAATAAATTCTGCCGATAAAGAGGATCTCTCATCAATTTTGTCAGAAAATTAGGCATTGGTTATTTGCAAAAAACTTTCATAAGGCAATATTGAAAATAGATTTCATTACATTGAATTTGAGGAAATCCTAAAAACGATTACATGTCTCTTTCCTCCCACTCCCCTAAAAAGTAAATAAATAAAATTAAATTAAAATAAAAACAAATCTATTATATTTCTTTTCATCCGGCCAACAACGATAATCCTGTTTCTCACCGCTGAGACATTGACAATTATTCTTTCATTTCAGACTTAAGGACAATATATATTCTTTCTTGTACTGTCACTCTTCATCAAGTGACCCCAAAAGTTCGGATACTTTATCTAGATTTTTGTCTCATAATTAAAAAATATTTTTAAATATCATGTCTGTTCAGAATGCAGGCGACTACGACTCTCCAAAAAATTCCTTTAATGTATGTGAAACATAGTAAAGTAATTTCCCGTTGCTTCCTCTACAGTTCAGAGTTGTTGTTCTCCTACATTGGACGCCACTCAAGGCTAAAGGACAAACTCTACTATTTAAAAACATGTCTTTCCCAAGGGCATTAATACAAACTGAACGTGACAGAATAGATTAGGTCAAAACATTGACTCCATTTTACCCGACGATAACCGCTACGGTCCCCGCACATTAGTGAAAGAAAAAAAAAAAGAAAAAAAGAAAGACTCAAGATGAACATTTCAAAAGGCGACATTCTGCAATAATTTACAGCAACACAAAATCTAGTTCATTTACTATCAAATAACCCTTGCGAATTTTTAAACGAGAATCCAAAATAGCTGAATCAGCCCGTTGAACGTCTACCGCGTTTTGTGAATATGAAATTAGGGAATGTGTTGTTCAAAATTTGTTCAGTTTTCAACTAGCAGAAAAAACTTCGAGAAGAACTGTTCAATACTTATCATGATGAGATGAGGATGCTGAATCTAATCAAATTTAAACCCGTTTTGGTTCAAATGGACATGCAATGAAACTATTCTTCTTCATCGCTTCGATAAAACAAATGGATACACGATAATTTCAATGACTAAGAGAATAAGACGTATGAACACAAAAGAACATGGCCGCCAAAATGTTGATTGCTAAAGCTTGTCTATTACCGGAATCTAGGCATGCAACAAAATGCAAAAGCGGCTGTCTATGGAATATAAAAAGTACAACGTTTGATAAAAGCGAAGTCTTTAATTTAAAGGTGTATAGGTTAACAAATGGAAATGAATTATTCGAAGATGAAAATGACAAGCGATAAGCAGTCGTAAGGACCAGCTGAGGATTTGTATAGAATTTCATCCGCTTCAAACACATGAGATGCTCGATTTAAGATTCGGCAGAGACCTGTACGTGCGCCTCGCTGAAAGAAAGATGCGCGCTAGGGATGTGTAGTCTACGAACTAAGCAGTAACTAAGTAAACATTGGCTACCACGGGTCTGAAAATTAGTGGCAACAAAGCAGCGTACTGAATATTCAAGAAAGATGCAAAACATCCCAGATGAAAATTCATGAGTATGTTTGGCAGAAAACACATAAAAAGAGAAACTCGATTATTGTAGGTCATATAAATACATTGAATGTTAATTGAAAATGAAAAGGAACCAAGTGGGAAAAACAAATGTAACTTTTTGAGAAAAAGGGATGAGACTAAAAAAAAAAAGAAAAAAAAAACATTGTCGATGAATTCAATAACCTTCCCGGATAGAAATTTAACAATTCCGACAAAGACAAGGATACAATGGGAATTATTAAAGAACTGATGGATTTTAATTTAATGCGATATTATTTCTTATAATTCTACATGTCCTAAAGCACATTTTCTTTATTAAATCTCTCGAATGCTCAGACCGGTAGACGTAATTCACACTTCAAAATAAGTTAAAAAAAATAATTTAAAAAAATAATTTAAAAAAAAAAAAATTAAAAAAAAACCCCCCAAAAAAAAACAGGAAATCTACTCTACATGTGTATCTAAAATATAAAGTTTAGATTAAGAACAGATGAAAATTATTTACACTATTTACATGCGGATTATTGTCCTCATCTCCGTTATTACAACGTTTCAGCCGTTATGCCCCCCGTCCTTCATCAGGTGGGTGTCGATTACGGGTAAGCTAAAGGGAATTCTGAACTGAATCATTTATTTGATCTTAGAATCAATAGACACAGGGTTAGCAATAATAGAACTGTACTAAAATAAAGAATTAGACAAGATATAAGTAGACATGGCCAGTGAAACGAGAACAGTTCCCCTAGATTGAATAAAGGGTTCAGTAAGGACATCCATATGTTACACGGGTCGACATACACCTGAATAAGGCCGGAGTGCACAACGGCTGAAACGTTGCAATAATGACATTCCAGAAATTCAGACAGAAAGAAATGGGTATTATGTAAAGATTATATTGAATCAGTTGCAAGATCAGCTGCTAGGAAAGTTGGTTTACTGTGTCATGCCAGACAATTTTTTCTCGACAGAATTTATCTTACACGTTTATAAATCTACTATTTGACCGTGGATTGAATATTGCTAACGAATAAGGCCTGGTGCTCTTGCTATATATATCAAGAGATTCTTGATACCCCCCCCAAAAAAAAGTACCTGAAATGTTATCAGTCCTGACCTGACATCTCGGCTTGAGTCATTTTCCCACCGCCGTGAGCTGGCTTCGTTTTCGTTTTTCTATATCCTTGGTATTTTGCCCGCATCAATTTAAGCGTAGAAACTAGATTGATAAATAACTCTCATCGTGTTATTGCTGAAATAGCTAGTTACAACCGTAAGTTCTATCCTAATACTTTCCTTTCTCGCACTTCTCGCCCGTGGAACATCCTTCTGGTTTCTTTGCTTCTCTGTCACTTACGATCTTCAAAGATTTTAGTGCGGCATCAATCGTCACTTTCTATCCTCTTAAATCCTGTCCTTTTATTGACATTTCTCCAAACTGACGTCTTTATCGTTTTCTTTCACCCTCAGTAACCCCCTGCGCCTTAGTGTCAATCTCGCCTGGCATGGGGTGAAACGATTAATGATTTTAGGCTGTGTAAATTGAAGGTGTTCAAACTGTTAGCCGCCAAAAGATTTTGTCTGATCTGTAGAAACTTGAAATATTAAAATGAAAACTACAGATGAGAAAAGCATGTTGAAGTAATGGATGATTTTATCAGAACATCTGTTAATAATTGACATTTTTATTCCTTTCTTATTGTAAGAATGGCATTGTTTCTTTGTACATTTCTGCTTTGCTTTTAATCATGTGCAGATTACGAAAAAGATAGAAATAAAATTTATAAAAGTATTTTTTTCTAACCCACGGAAATGTGTAAAATATACGATATGGCTGTTGTAATCAAATGTTTTGAAAACCGCTGATGTAAAAAGTATGTACGAGCATTATTTGGAGGCTGGCCTACGAAAAGCAATAATTTGACGCTTCGCAATCGGACCAGACTACCCAAACTTAATAAGAAAACCAAGGCTGAGTATTGTGGTCAAGGAAAAGACACGATATGCAATTAGTAGACAAAAGTACAGTAGTGATAAAAGTCTTACTAATTAATCCATAGGTGGGGAGAGAAGATGTAGATTCATAACTTTCCATCTGTATTTGTCCGAATAACGAATTCAACTGGAATTGGAACTCGACACTCCGATTAACAATTCCGAGCCGTTATCCACTATACCACCCGGACATCCAGGCTTACAGAACCAAGTATCCCCAAGCGGTTACCCATCTAGATACTGACCAGGCTCGACATTGTTTAACTTCGGTGATTGTACAGGAACTAGTGATTCAACGTGATATAGCCGCAA